CTTGCTACTAAAAGTCTGGTTATCGCCTAGCATCGTGGCATTTTGAACTTACGGCGAATGGCAGCCGGACCCAATAATAGTCCTTAAGCTACGCCACTACTAGCGATGAGGTTGAACCAGTTGCCGAGGTTCCGTGGCGTGACTCTCTCTATCGGTACGTAGACGAGGAGTCGTACGGAGGATAACAGCAACTGAGTAGCGGTTTTTGCATCTGAGCGATACGCAGCCGCAGAAAAACTAGGCTGACATCGTACGTACAACCTAGGGTCTGGAACTAGTTAAATTTTTCAGTGATGAGAAACCTTAGCCAGCGAACAATGAGTTCATCTATAAGATTTTGTTCCCGTTTTGCGCGCTCCAGTCATTGAACAGTTTGTAGGTCAATAGTAATTTATTAAGTAGTAACAGAATCAATTTCGGTCCCCAATCGTACGCAAGAAAAATCGATTGAATGGCAGTTCGCAAAGGAGGACTTACTTTTCATATGAAAAAAAGCTCCCAGCGTTTCACCATGCCAACGATCTTCTATGTTCGATGTTATAGCTTAGCATTGCTTACTTTTACTGTATTTAACACTTTTTAGGGTATCGGACTTCAGGCAAACTGTTTTAGCGATCAAATCACGCGTTCGTTGAATCATCAATGTCAGTTATTAGGCTCATACAATAGCGCGGCAAGATACTACCATAATTTTACAATGCCCATGGCCAATGTGGCTAAAAGTAAATTAAAGTGACCATCCGATCTAAATCCGTACGTAATATACGTACGTAAATTCTGATTTCGTGCGATAAAAATGCTAACTTTTCAATAGAAACATTACGTTTACTTTCTCGGGTTACATATTCTCATACTAAAGACTTGTCTAATCAGTTATGCATATTGCCGAGAATAAAATGGGCATGCTTGCTAAAGATGATTTTTTTCTGAAATCAGACGGCAATGATTAGTAATACTGATAAATCTCTATTATATATATTAGCCTCCATTTTGAATCTGTTAAGTTAACATAAAGAAAAAGTATGTAGAAATAAAAGTAAACGCGAGTGAAGTTTGTCAGCCCTTAAAATCTTCGTCCAGACCTGTATATAGGTATGCATGTATATCACCGGAGTATTCGACCACATTTCAGGCAAATTCGCTTAAATGATTACAGAATTATAATTTTTAAAGCAACTAGTGCTCACTAAAACATGTTAAAAGATATAACCAATAAGAATTGGTTATATCTTTTAACATGGGGGAAGACACAGGACAAAATAAAAAATTATTTGCCTTGTGTCAAATAAGTTTAGACTTTCACCACGGTGTTTATTTCAATGCTTACTTAGCCTGTAACTTTGATGCCCCGCTGGATGATACATACGGAGAGATCATTTGTTTGTATTTCTCTAGCGAGCACCATGCACTGGCATGGAAATGAGGCGAAAGCTCGGCCGAAGTTACCATTGCGAGCGTATGACAAAAATCATCTATAGCACCAAATGCAAAGTGGCAATTTTCGACACTACGGTTAGTTACGCGAAGATATTCAGGTCAACTGAGACCAGAAAATTAGGAAAATATTTTCACTGCTAGAAAAGCATGAGAGGATATTAGTGGTCACGGAAAAGCCGAAGTGTAATTTCGTTTCGTGTTTCTCTACGTATTGCTGAATTGTTAGTAGTAAGCTCCGTGCGTGACGCACGAACATGCCTTAAAGTATCCTTGCTAAGACGACCTATCAAAGCCCGCTGGCTTGCGTCGACCTCTTACTCGAGAGAACAGGTTTAGGTTCGTTATTCTAGAAAGAGAAGCAAGCAAATACTATCGAGGCGGCTCTAGGCGACCGGAGCCAAATATTTGATACAAGCCATGATGGTTCATTCAACAACAATGTCTCTCAGAATAGCTATTTTCTTGTTCGTCAGATTTCTCTTTAGCTTAAACCTGTAGAAGGCTTGCCACCTTATTGAAAATAGACGCCATAAGTTCAGTTTACTCTTGCTATAGGAATCCAGTATAGACTACCCAAAGGTTTGCAAAATTGCAAATTCTGCTGTTGAGTTGTATAGCTTCTTAGCAAAGAAATGAAATGCAAAATCAAGAAGTAGCCACTCTCGATAAATTTTCACAACAAGACATCGGTTCGTATCATACCATGCCGTGGAAGCACGTCACGCTACGTGAATATTGGAAACGGTTCAGTAATCGGCAAACATGTACTTACGGCACAATTTAAAGGCAATAGGTTTCGACATGGACATTACAGGGGGTCCGTTGTTTCTTCTCATTTTTCAACGAACTCGCGTTGGAATATCAAAATCACGCAGACGCATATATTACGTTGGCCATTTTGCTAGGCACAGGCAATTGTTCTATTCGTTAAAGCAGCAACTTCGTTTATGATGAGTGGCTCTGTGACAATTATTTAGCGTTTCTAATAGAACTTTTTTCATTGCGAATTGAGCCCAACACTATGAGCTGAATGCACCGCTTTGATCCATATGTACTTTTACGTATGTGTTACATTTTCAGCTGCCCTGTACTAAAACAGTTCCGGCCAACAAGGAATTTTCAGTAGTTTCAACTATTCTTCTCCAGCAAGGTTACATAAATAATATGGACTACACAATCTGCATTCGTAGAGACGCCGGTTACTGCAGCACACTACGGATGATCGCGGCCTTTATAAACAACACCGCAATATTTGACCCTATGTCGTATCAGAATAGTTACTTGAACTTGTTCACCTATTTACTATGTCCGTGGTGTTTAGACGTATCCTTCCAATGAGTCAGGGTGGGAAACATTAAAAGAAGACTTACTATAGACACCACTAAATAAACTATAGTATAGAAGCTAAGCACCTTCAACACGGTACGAGACCCTTAAATAAGTAATGCACTTGTTTCAAATTGTGTTTTGTCAGGTGTTCTTCGTGGACGATTTGTCACTGTTCGGGATTCACAATGTCAATGCTGACGGAACACCGACAACTCTTGAAACCGAAGTAGGCTTGGGTATCATTGAATGTCCCCAAGACTGTCTTTTCGTCGGTAATGTAGGGTATATTGCTGTCATAAATCTGAACCTACTTGCAAAAACGACAGTGAACAAAAACATTTTTGTCCTACCGGTTTTTTTTTTAGCATGCTGGGTCTCTTAATGGGTACGTGCAGCTTAAATCAAATTTTATTTTACGTGCAAGATGAATTGTGTCATAATTATGACAAGCCGGCCCAAGTACATAAATCCTTAATGCATCGTAAACTTTATGAAAAATAGAAATTATGAAACACGGTAAACAACGTTGCATGGTGCATCTGTTCCTATGCGAATGACTGTACACTTATAGAGAAAAGTGGACGAGCTATTTAGCTCTTTGATGGATAAGATACGTGTGGGAAGAAGGAGCTCAGAACTTCGACAGAAATCTTAGACATCGTCGTTTTGTCGTTGAATCGTGTGAGAGTATACTCGGCCAGCAGTTCAAAGTAAAGGTAGTTCACTTGCTCTAGAATTATAATTGTCCTAGGATCGAGCGCTTTGGGAATCTGATAGAAATCCACTCTGTGGACCATGAAACGCATCCCGCTTGGTAAACAGTGGCGGAAAACAAAGCAAAAAATCGAAAGGAAACGTGAATAGGACATAAGTAAAACCAGGTTTAGCAATAATAGTTAGATTCGTAGGACTACCATACTAGTCACCTGCGCACAGTTCAGATCCCCATGCTTTAGCCTAGTAGAGAGGTATTTGACTTGCCGTATGGAGCACGGTTTTTCTTAGGTGGAAAATACGGAATAAAACTGTTGTAATAATTCATCTGTTAAATTATTTGCCTAAGAAAAGCAACCAGCCATCAAGCGCTGACTACACAGCGGCAAAGTGTTCCGTGCTAGTCAGCACAGAAAGCTCTTATACCTAGTATCCATAAATAAAGCGGAGCCTAAGCAGAAGTCGGACTGTGCTCCGTTTTGTATTTCACTGCTATTTTAGGTAGTGCAGAACACGATTAAATCCTAGCATCAGTCCTCAGGTGAATTCTCCGCTTGTAGGTGAGCTATCTCGAATACGGCAGGCATGAAAACCAGAAGCTCTTACAAATCTTATTCTAACAGCTATCCATAGAAACGGCAGCATTCATTTAGGTACTGTGCAAGAGTTTACAATATGCCTCTTTTTTAAACCGAAGAAATGTAAATATTTTCAGATTTAAAAATATATTGGAAAGCCTTTATTGCTTTTTTTTTACTATGCTAGAAAACTATTACTTCTTTTGTGATTCTACTAGCATATGCTAACGCTCTTATGCGGAAAACTGACATTGTCGTCGTTTTCTTTGGCTGCCTACGAGTTACAGGGATATCGTAAGGCCCTGTTAGCGTATGCTTCTTGTTCTGTCCAATACAGAATGCTCGCAGTTCCCAAATTAGTTACCGGCAGAATCGATGCTAACCATTTGCTTCCCAAACGTACACTCCATTCATTCAAGTGTTGTGCGTTATAGTAGGCTTTTGCATTTCAAGATCAGTACAGATTCACGGATTTTTTGTTCCTCCTCATTTTGTACTAGACATTCAGCGCGCCAAAATGTCTGGCCTTCAACGCTTGATTTGTATTCGCCGTTAATAATTGCTCGATTGCAGCCCCACTTGTGTGAAACCTACTTTATTAATTTCTATAACTTTCCTTTCTCTCTAATATTCAAACTATTGTTTATTGAATTAAAAATGAGTGCATGTATTCAAACATTCTCCACACTTCACTGAACTGATTTCGCAAGTTATTTGACCTAATACTAACAAAACAATTTTCGTTGAATGCATCTATACGTTGCTGCATTAAGACTCGTAGAGGCTGAACGTCTGCAAAAGTTCTTTTGAGAAAAAGCTTATTTAACCACATTTAAAAAACCCTTTTTAGCCGGATGTCATTAAAAAGAAAGACAACGCAACAGCTTAGATTACAGAGATTTTTTTTTACAGACGGCTATCAGCATCGTGATCTTCTCTGATTCGATATTTTAGAACACCGTTTACTAATATTCCCGTATGGAATATTTCCAGATACTTTGTGTTTATCAAGTGTGAATACTTGAATGTATGACTGTTATTCGTTGAAATCAAAGTTTACCGTAATGAATACACTGATTATATATATATATATATATATATATATGGCGGTCAAGGAATGGCGGTACCGTAGACTGTAGTTCTGTGAGTTACTATCCTTAAGACAACAGAACTTCGTCTTAGTAAAAGTATTTTACTCTGCAGCATGGCACCAGAGCACAGCATAATACATATTAACGATGATTCACAATTTTACATATATTTTTAGATCATCGGCATAATACAAATATAGCATATAGTAGCAAAAAAGCATATGTTAAAACCCGCCAGGGACTGGTCCGTGTTATTATCGGCTTTGTGTAGGTGAAACTTTTCCGCTGGAAAAAGGCATGAAGACCTATATGCTTTATATTTTCTAGGAACAGATTAAAATTTTTTCCATCGAAAGCACTTTTCAGATCCAAATATGCGTAGAGAAAGGTGTACACGAGTCTACGTACAGTGCCCAATTATGATACATCTTTGATAATCGTATTCAGATGAATAATGTACAGCAAAACCGTATTAAATTAATTCAAGTAGATCACGGTTTCTTGAACATTGAGGGACATAAATCACAAAACTTTTTTCACAAGCTATAAATATGGCAATCTATTACACGGCTTGCAATACCCAGCATGAATTTTAGATCTATATTTATAAACCAGGGTTACAATAGGTGGCGGAAGTAAGTCACACTTTGCCCAAGTATCGATTTTTATAACGAGAAAAGAAAGAACTTACCGTAAGCAAGGCTTTCTGTATTTAAAAATTTTTTTTGAATTTTTTTTTCGGAACTCAATTGTATTTCGGCTTCAGAAAAAAAAGAGCGGCTGAATCGGCTTGGCTTTCGAGCTCATGTCAATGTGTGACGAGAAAGAAAGCTACAAAAAACAAAGTGTATCGTCACAGAGAAAAAAAAAAGCATTTGACAAGTCAATAAATCAATTTTATTTCAGCACGTGCGAGGAGAAGCTTCGAAAATCATTAACCATTCACCGCTTCATTTATATAAATTTTTTCATGTACGTTTTTATACAATATTATATATATATATATATTATATATATATATATATATATATGTATATATATATGTATATATATTGTGCTATGCGATTCACTTTGCTTTTGAATTAAAGTCCATCTTGTATTCTACCGATTAAGATCCATTAAGATTAGATTTTCCATTTTTTCTCTATTCATCTAGCCTGCGCGCAGGCTCTACATATATATATACCCGAAATCGAACTGCTGTGTTGTCACCATTGGCTCAACAATGGATAGCCTCTAAAGTCTGACCCTATCGACAGTCGGATTGTAACCGCCTGTGAGCAAGCAATTCGTAGCAATATCAAAGTAATTGGCGGGTAATTTTTATTCGCATGCTGCCATTATATCTGACAATGGTTTTTTTAATTGCAGGACTTCGGGATTAGTAATGAAGTTTTTATTCTTGCGTAATTTTATAAAGACATTGCTATGCAAAAGAATATTCTACTAGAAAGTCCTGTATTTATGGCCAAATCTTGCCGCTACAATTTCTAACTAATTTTTTTTAGATCTTGAACCTCCGTTTATCTGTGGCAAATGCATCTAAGAGAATAAACTAAGTCGTTATTCAATCGTTGTGATGTACTCCGCCTTCTCCAGAAGTATGCTCGATCATTTATTGATTGGTGCACACGGCATTTCTGATTGATTCGCTATGTTGTAGTTATAACACTATAAAATGCATTGAAACGAGGTGCGTGTCAATTTCGCGACGATATTATCGCTTATGGGAGTCCCTCGCCGTGTGGGAGTTCAGTCCCATCGCACCCGAAGTATACGCCCATTCTCTATTCTTTCTTAGATTTTTCACCGTTCATGTCGTCCATGGTTTATTTTGATCACTCAGTTTTATACGATGGGTTGCACTGACAGTCACATAAAACGAAAGATCTACGAATTACAGATAAACACACGCGAGTTGCTGTTATGTATAAAATTTAAATTTTTATTTATATTGTGTCACTGGCGGTAGGCATAAACTGCATATTACGGGGGTGCGCCGCTTCTAAAACAAACTCATAAACGAATTTTACTAAGTTACACTTATCGAAGTCACTCTGTTTGCTTTTTGGAGCTGGCAACTCCCAATTTCTCTATTTTTGTACTCTGCTAAAAATTAATAGCTAATGAAGCCTCAACCACCCACAAGCCAACAGTATGCCTGATATATATATATATATGTATAAATATATATTGAAAATGCCTTACAAATATATTTGTAAGGCATTTTCAATTTTCGGCATATGAACTGCTCTGTTATATCGAAATTTAACATTTTGCCCATAGAGTCTCTAGTTTTAGGCAAAACGCTGGATTATCCCAGGACCAGTTAGCATTCCTCTTACGTAAAACTTATGCTGATCATCAAGTCACCAATTTTCATATGTGCTCTTTGACGGGCTTTGACTAGTTTCAACAAAAAACAATTTACCCTGGAACTACTCTATCCATATCTGCTAACGTAGCGAAAAACTATAGGCCCCTTACCGGCCGCGTTTTACGGCCATTAGACAATTATAACTGTGTTACAAAATATTTAGAATGGAACAAAGAGAAAAAAACGTAACTCAAAAACGAAAAAATTAACTGCCTCGTCCTGTCAGCGCTTGGCTCTTACGGACGACTGCGTATTTCGATAGCGATTTTGCGAACTTGTAGCACCAACTGATCTCTTTGAGTACTTCAAATGAACGAAAAAAGTGCTCTTTCAATTGTACGATTATGTAACCTTTTGAGAACCTGACCAGGTACATGGCTTTTACTATTTAGAGAGGCCGGTAATAGCGTCAGAAGGTAGATTACTTTCCAGATGCGTTGAAACATTTCAACAACGTGTTGTTGCTTGGTCTCTGGTAGCTTCATGCTGTTGTAAATATGAAACGGAAAAAGCATGAAAAAAATCAGCAAAAGAATGAGAACACTGCTAAAATCACAGTCTTAAGAATAAACCATGGAAAACTTTCGTTATCTGATCACATCGTCAACTAGTAAAAAAAAAAAAACGTAACATGTCTGCCATACGAGGCCAGTTCTTGAAGTTATAGCCAGTTTTGGAGGGAACTACACTCAGTACACGTTCAATCAAGGTGGACGGTGAGTCAACTACAAAGCTGCCTGAGGGGATGTTAGCAGCTACTTCACTGATTTCTATACTGCTATTGTCGTACCGTAACAAATTGAAGACTTCTTTCTAAAAACACAGCTGATTCTGAGAAAGAACGAGTGCCAGATCTAATCGAAAACTTTCAGTTGCTTTTAGCTCCAGTAAAATAGTAACTTTATTTAAGCAGGACTACGTCTAAACAAATTACGGTGCAATCTGCAATTTGACTCTCAATTTGATTTTTACGCGTATCGAGCGATGAAAGAAGGGGACTGAGAAGATTCCTTTACTTGTTCTAAAAATATTTACCTTCCTAACCCAATTAAGTTGAAGCAGAAATCACCAGCCACTGGAAATAATCGTGGTATTTCTACTACGGGTCAAATTCCATGTTGATGCCAAGCAGCGGAAGTTTGAATACGAAATGACAACAGCACTGATGACTTTCATGATAGCCACAGGTAAGGGACGAAGACATCTGACTTAATGGGGCCTTACCAGTTGTTTAAAAAGTAACTTACTTTGTACCTCTTCATTTATAGCAAGTAAAATTTTATTCTTTTATTAAGAAATCAACTGTTGTTATCTGCACCCGGGCGAATGGGCAACTTCTTCGACATCCACAACTTTGACATCCGTCCGTTTCCTATGAACTCTTATTACTTACTATATTTGTTAGTTAAACTCTGAGTCGAGCTGCTCTTACCTATCGAATACAAATGGTTTTAGAAGGAAGTTTTCACCGGGTAGAATTATTTCGAATTTTAAACAGATTTCGTTTTACCCTACAGGCCTCTCGTAGTGTCGTCGTTCATGTGCTCTGCTCCAAATTGTCCTTCGCTAATATCCTTTTTGTGGTCATCTGGCTCGTGGGATACGATTAACCTGTCCGATCGATCCACTCCGTTTAATATGGGTGAGTTAAAGAGCTTTACGCTGCGCACAAGGGGCGTTCTAGCGAATCTATCGTCTGTACCACCCATCCCAATGTACAATGTCATAATCTGCATATCAATTGCGCAGATGGCGAAATCGAAAAAACCTGCAACCTCTTCAGCGGAAGCAGTTCGGTTTATCGATAACGCTGCTGTCATGTTCTATTGCTCGAGCCAGCTGGGCGACGACGAATTGGGTGCTTTAACTTTAATATTAAACTGCTTCAGAGTCGCTTCGAGCGAAGACTGGTTACCGCTGAAATATGCTGATACTGCGTTGTGAAGTAATAATAGTTGTTTGTGCATCACCTTTACCTAAAACAGTAAGAGTTCGTGAAATCACAGCTAGCAATGAAAATCGGATTAGAACGACTCTCGAGAACAGCATCGCTGAAATGAAATGAAAGTTGGAAAAAAATGGGATTTAATTGCATGATGCAGAAGTTTGATAAGTTTAATATTAAATTTGGGACATCTACATACCTTGTTTTCATGAAGGAACTTCATCTTAATCTGTACGTCTCCTCTAAGTCTCTCATATTTCTCTTTCTGCGACTCGAAGTTCGCCCTGGCCTCAGCCACCTATTTGTTAAGAAATAATTGAAGAAGTTGGACGAAGCTTATATACGGAGTAAATGGTTAGAGGATACACTTCAAAAGCAAATTGTAAAGCAAAGAAAAATATTCGCTTATCAAAACCGTTGACCCCCAAATGTAAGAGTAATTGAGAACTAATGAAAATAGTTTTACACAAAGAAACATACATCGTTAAGTTACTGCCATATGTGGTATATGAGGTTCAGTATAATGTTAGCCATTGAAAAACTGTATGAGAGGTATTCTATGAAATTAGACGCTTAGTAAAACTCTATGCATGAAACTATGTTTTCCTGGTTGTTCACACCTTTGTAGCTTGCGCAGCGGTTCCAGCGCTAGTCGAAAGCTCCTCAAGATCACATCGATACGCATCGAACTCGAGCCGTGCGTTCTCATAGTGACGAATCGTGATAAGTGTATCTTCAATTGTTTTATTACATAATGTTGACAATGACGAGACAAAAAAGTTCAGCGCTCCTGAAAGTTGTGCGTCCATCAACTACAATCATTTTTTGACAATATTTCACTTTGGAAGAGAAAGCAGAATTTTGAATAATACTTAACCCACATTTAGCAGTAGTTCAAATCCTATACTATACAATAATAACTATGTGCTACTGCTGGATAAAGCCAACTTAATTAAATGCCCACTTACCTAGTAGCGTGTCTCCATTTTTCGAAAGATTCTTTTGCGTTTCTGCATTGTACAGGAATTCCTGCTGCAATTCCGGACTCTTTTGCGCAAGATCCGAAAAACACTCTCCTAGAGCCGCTTGTGTTGCCACCGTGTTGTAAAAGTGGGTTGTCAGAAGCTTCGCTAATCGAAGAATGTTTAGGTACTTCTGGTGCGTCTCTCGGAGCAGCTCGATATTCGCTTCTAGTTCGCCGTCAACAGTTCGTGTTCCCTAACAGTAAAAGTAATGATTATATATACAACAATAATATTGTGATTGTTGCTGCTATTACTGCATTTTGACTAGTCTCCTCGGTGTCCTTGCTCGTTAATGGTAACAACCAAAAACAACAGGAATCCAGGAAGTGTAAACAGGAGTGAACTCACATTTCACAGGTGAACATGAGCGAACTTTTTTTAAATGTTCGCCTCTTATTCGCTTTTTTAATGTTCACCTGTGAAATCTGGTTCACTAATACAATACCGCCCCCTATTACGGCTCGCTGAAGGTCTGATAAGAACTTTGCACAATGGAGAACATAGCATAATATTGTACCTTGCCCATCTTTTCGGCGAGGATTTGTCGGGTGCATTTGTACGTGGATAGACTCCATTGCTTTAATTGTTCGATCTTGCTCCGAGTTGCAGGAGACGGCGTAAGGCTTCCAAGAGGCCCAGGAGATCCCATATTGGTGCATACCCCGTTTGGACCTCCCCATTGCAAGGTCGTTGGCCGCTGGGTCAGCCCAGCGCCTTCTGCTACACCTTCCTCGCTTGACATTGGATTCACCTGAAATTTATGATGTATAAAAGTCAAGTTCAATAGAACATGCATGCATGCATGCTTGGCAGGAAAAAATGACGTATATATGTAGCACCAGGTACGCGCCTGCATACATAGTCTTATTTTACGAAGCAAATGCGGTATTAACTACACTAGTCGAAACGAAGCGCGGCGAAAGATGGATTCATCGCAGTTAATCTTTCGACTGTTGAATGAATGGCTTTGGATGAAAATGAGCGAAGTACTACATTCTAGAATACAACCGTCATATTGTATGGTATACTACTATAACTGTGTTATAAGCGACTTAAAATTGAATTAACTTTAATCGTGACTTATGATAAATTAAATATTGTCCATAGGCTATGGCAGGTCAAAAGATGAAGATCTAATACTTCTAACAACACGATAGAAAGTACCTTAATCTTGCATTTCGCAGAGTCGGCTCAACAAACAAATAATAGTGTACTTTTAGGCATACCAATTTGTTTCTCAAATTTGATCTGCTATCCTGTCCATTTAAATGTCCATCCAAAAACGTCCATTTAAATAATGCGATCCGATATTTATCTATAAAGTATCGTGATGCAACTTCATCTCCCCATCGATTGTTCAACATCTAGTTTAAGAACTTGAGCAATACAACTATACATTCACGTTTTATCTTATTGACTACATTAACAAAAACTTACTTCATCGACAGCTTTCATCATTTTGCCTTAAAACTATGACACAGGTTTCAAAAAAAAGGATGAGCTCATGTAGACTGACGTATGAACGAAAGGCCATGCAATTGGCCAGCTTGCCCCGATAATCCTTGTTCACATGAATCGCACGAACAATACGAAGTGGTCATACACATATTTCCGTAATCAGTTAATCGGCTCTTGTTATGCCTGTCTCCTCATTTGTGTCGGAAACGTTCTAAGTTGATTGTTTGCTCCATTTTCGATCATTGCAGCACACACAGACGATGCGCAAACGGAAACGCACTTACGATCTATATATACACAGCATTAGATCCAAGACAGAAGACATTGTAGTTGCATAAAAACAAACTTTAGCATTTGCACACTCATCTACATAACTTCGGTAAAACTTACTTCGTCGAGAAAACACTTCAGCTTCGTTTCGTCGTTGTTGTCGACATTCAAATAGTCAAATAATTATCACATTCAATCAAAATTGAAGAAAAAAAATCAAATCCACCGATAATAACACATATTTTCCTACAGAAACATCTAGAGCAATCATAAAAATTGCGCCTGGACCATAATCTATATCACTAGCAAAATACTACCGGCTTTTTTAATAGCCTATCGGCCACTAATAGCTCTCTGTCCATGGCGTGCGAATGGTCGAAGTATTTCAAACAGTCAAATAGCTCTCGTTGAATGATTCTATCTTTTTCGTCAGATCATGAAAAAAATATAATTTCTCGGAGCCTGCCTTCAATGGCTGCGAATTGATACGGCCATATAATGCCTATAAATGGCCTTCCCTAGCTGATTTATTTGGTTGAAATCGAGGCATCTGGCACATTTTGAGACCTTATATGTCCATAAGTGGCCGAGTGAACTATCTTATGATCCGAACAAAGGAAACCGCAACAGAAAATACTAGTGAAGAGCGTGCGTCACTTTTGTTGACACGTAACGCGAAAACAGGGCGGATGTCAAACTGCCACCAAAAATTCCCGTATGATTAGGCGTCTCATACCACCATCGTCGACCTCTAAATGAAAAACCACAATTTTTGGTCCACTCAACTTCATTGCAAGGTTTGTCTGTATCCGTTTCTCAAAATCGAAAGATCTACTTAGTGACAGCTAACATACACTCGATTGAAGAAAGTTAAATATGTCTAAAAGATGGTACGCGTACAGCAAACCAAGCAGTCAGATTGAAGAATTCTACAACACAAAAACCGAAAATGAATGCTGTTATCTCATTTCTTTCGAAATCTTCCCTCTCGAACATTTTTGTTATTATTCAACCCGTAGGTGAGATCGGTCCTTTCTGGCTTGTGAAAATATGCTATAGCGGCGGAGCTATTTGCTACATTGGCCGATTGGTTGCCAGAGCAATGCCACCCAGATCATCGCTGCTACGAATGCGCCGTTCGGTGCGCTATGTTATCACCCACGGGGCCCTCACTCGCTGTTTTCCTAACCGGCGTTGTGTTGCCTTCAGCGGCCTCAGTTCGTCCGCTGCCGGCTGAGGCGCTGTTGTCGCAGTCGAACTGCCAACCACCCGCCCGATGGACCGACCGACAGCTCGTCCGGCGCAGATGAGTCAGGGCTCACGCGAAGGGTTCATATCGACAACAGCACCTCACTGCTCACAGACAAACAACCACTGTTATAGCTCTTATTCACATACGTGAGTCCACAGACACTATGACACACACAACAAATATTTTGTATGAGTGCGCTGTCGCGCAGTTATTGTCTGCTGTTGTTTGTTGTCGTTTGCTGATAATACATCAAAACGTAATTAAATCAGTCTGCTTCTAGTCGTCTAACTACTTTTTAAATGGGTCAACGCAGCATGAACGTACGTACTGTACAAATGCCGCTGCTAGTCTAGTCGAATTGATGTCTAGCTAGTTTCCTGCTACTACACTGATCTGATGATTACTGTTCACGATTCAAGGGCCGTACATTTAATAGGTACTCCGGGACACCCTTCGACACCTATTTCCATAGTGTACTGGATAGCTTGTTTACCTGCTAAGCTTAAGGACACGTAGGGGCCTAGTTTCTAATCCGAGTGTAGGTGCACTTCATTTCGTACTGGGAGCCAATCGTCTGAAGTTTTGCCTGGATGATTGGTGTAGGACGTGAAGTACGACAACACACTGAGTTCCTGGATAGTTCATGCGACAAATTGGCGACTGTCCAGAGTGTTGACCCGATGCTCGAGTTCACAGTGAAACCTCGTTGTGCCATATTCCAAGCGAATTTCGCTGATTCGCAATAGTTTAATAGAATAAGTATGATTTTATCATTAAATAATTTTCACCTTTTTTGTGACAACTGATATACACTCTATAGCACAACCGAGACAAAATAATACACATGGCTATACAACTAACTTAAGGGGAAACTAATCAAGCCTTAGTCCTCGGTGATTACTATGTAGTTTTATCATCGGCCTTGCATACACGTTCTATATGTTGTTTTTAAATGATAAGTAGGTTCCCTAAGCCATTAATTTGTAACAGCTTTTAATATAGAAGAACTAAATTATTTCTGAATGGGATCCACTTCTAGACTTTTCATCGGTAAACTGACGGTCGTCCTCGATAATTCAAGCAATCCCTCCAATAATATTATTGCATAATAAAATAATAATAAGAACATAAACAAAAAAAAGTTTATATGATAATCATAGCAGTTTGCACTGTTCTGTAAGTGAGGCATAATATTTATGCTGAATATTCTTAATGGAAAATTTATATAATAACTGACGTCGGCAAAGTTTTTCTTTTAGAATTTTCATTCCAAATTGCAGGACAGGTAAGCTCCTTACTAGCCTACCTTAATACTAGTTTCGGTAAGCTATCGCTATGCCAAGAAGCCATCTACCAATGTTTATTCCCTTTCTTCGGCCCTCATTGGTGGGTAAGCTTCTTGTCAATTGAAGTCAATATCTTAAATCGAATTTACGAACATACGAAACATCAGACACAAGGACAAGTCGGCACTTAATGATAGCTCGACAAAACTCGTCATCGTATCTTTCTATGATAGTTACTAAAAGAACAAATTTAATAGGCCAACACCGTGTAATAGAACAATAGGACCTGTCATACTTCTCTTCAGATAATACGTTATGATACGTATGCATTTGGTTAGCTCTAATCCAGTGTTTCAAGCGTGAAAATTGTCCCGTCCTACTTTCGGTGGTATCAGTACCTTACGCGCACAAATGTTTACCATACAATGTTCAGTTGTACCACACTCTAAACGGAGTGAAACTTCAAAATAGAGAAAAACAAATACAGAAATCTGCAAAAGATCAAAATCGTTTTACAGTGTGGAGCTAGACTACTGACGCTGAGAGCCTTGCATTCAGAATATCTCAACCTTTACCGGCGGACCTGATAAGGCGCCAGAGTATCTTGAATTGACGCTATCTCGGTAAAAAACGACGACAACGTAATTATTTAAAGTACCTAGTAAAACTGTGCCGAAAAAAGTACCGAATGCTTGGAAAGTCATGTAATTATTTATTGCTAATTTGATGTATCGGCAACGACTAGAATAAGAAGTTATTCCATACTTCTGGTCAAAAAAAACTATATTTCATATATACAAAGTACATATCGCGGATAAATATTTTCTTTAATCAAACACTATTAGCTGAATGGTACATTTTTTTTTCGTGATTGAACTGCAATAACTTGTCTGTACACCTTCATTGAATATCTTACCTGCATTGAAGTTACTGGAGTAATGGTTTTCAGCTCGCGTTGCGATTTGTTATAGGGGTTAGCTTGTTGAAATTTCAAATTATTCGCCACTGACGGTGATGATGAAGGTGACGTCGTGGATAGGCCGTTTCCTGTTGTTGCTGCCGCCGCAGCTGGTTCTACTGTTGCATACCTTACTTGTCCTGACTGCCTGATTATTGCAATAGAACGTTGTGGTATTAGAGCCGTAGTAGATTTCAAGGTAAGTATCGTATTTGTTGTTCTTGTCGTCTCCGAGTTACTTCTGCTAAATCGACTTAGCGACTTCGTAGTTGGCTCTTTATTTCGTGTGGTGATATTGTTGTTGTCGTTAGTGTAACTATTGCTGATACTGTCGCATACGTTGATGGTCTCAGACTGATAGTCCGCGAAACTCTGAGGGTGACCTGCGCGGTTCCACTTGTCTATGTCGGCACACGAGAAACTTCGTCTTTTTTCATCACAACCCCCACCACCACCCTCTCTAGCTCCTCCTGCTGCCCCACCACGTTCGCTCCGTGTACCGCTCCTGTAACCAACAACAACAGCAGCTCTCCGAACAGCGCCGCAGCGACCGCTCAACTTACCGCCGTTGTCGTCGATGAGGCGCACAAAACCACTTGGGCCTGCTTCATCACCTTGACTACGGGGCTTGTTGTTTGGCTCGTGGCTCTGCGTGATGCTGTCCTACCCTAGCGTTTCGGTAACGATTTTATCGATATCGGTTTTAGTCTTTCGGAATCTTTGTTTTAGCTGCCAAGCTCTCTTAGATCGAATCCGTGGTAGGAGTTAAGCACCATTAGGTTCTTGTGCTGTTTCTACGAGATGCCCGCCGTACGAGACTGACTCAGTAGGGACGGACGATTGACTGAACTGACCACTGCTGCGGTTATTTCGACTACTGTGAAGGACGAAGTAGGTTAACAGTTACAAAAGCTTATAGACTATATCCTAACTCGTAATGGCCGATCACCGACATACACTCAGTCACGCTAGAGGCGATTGCTATAGCTTTCGCTGCAGTGATGGTAACACTGATATGTCACGATAAGGGAGGGCTGGGCCATGAATAAGCACTCAAGAGATAGGTAGACGTAGATATAAGTACTCACCTTTCACACAACCACGTCTCAAGCCGCTTCTCACTTGTTATTAAACTGTTTGTTAGTGAATTTATTACGTAGTGATTTGTTTTATGCGTATTTATTAACGACGTTGTCGTCTCGTTCCATAAAAAGAAACATCGATGAGAACACGATTGAACAAGTATAAACCAGTCCCGTCTGTCTTCTCGTTGTTGCTACCGGTTTGCTAAGGTCTTTGTGCTGTGGCAGGGACCAGGGTCCCGTGCGGCTTACCACCAACGCTGTTAATGGTAAAACCGCGCGGCCGCGGTCGTGAAAGGCACGTATCCGTTTATCGTGTCTGAGCAATGGAGGTTTCTAGGAGGAAAGTTAGGTGACGTGTGATACCGCTGCTGCGTCTCCTGATCATCAAATATAAAAGAACAGCACAGCATCACCGTCGCCACAACCAGCATTACATCGACGTGTATGCGCTAAGCATAGGCATATTTTTACGGTCAAAGGAGACAAAAAGGCTGGCAGAGGACAGGACGGCGGAAGGCAACACGCAGACGGCCCAAGAACGGTACTTACTCCCTCACAGCAGCAGAATGAACGTGGCACGACACAGCACAGCACCAAGAACAGCAGCATGTAATGGAGGTGGGTTGCCTTGGCAAATGGAGACGATAGAGAAGATTAGTTGGGCTCTGGGTCATCGGGGGGTGGTCGTTGGCAGGGTGGCTGTCTTTGCTACTGCGGCCGCCGCTCCTGCCGCGCCTGTCGAGCAAAACAATGATCACGATGATCTCTATTGGGGGAGTCGGAACTCGGTTGGAAGGTCGAAGGGGACGCAGTCGCTAGGGGGGTGACTGTGGGGTAATTTATGGCCGACGACCTGCTGTCGTACCATGGAAACAACTTGAAAATCTGATATGACCTTATAATTGATAGAGGATCCGTTCAAAAACCAGTGGCGATGACAACAACAACTAATATAAAAAGGCAAAATCTATTTCGAGTATCCGTTAAGGTACTTTTTGGATTTAAACATGCAAGATGATTCAAAAAGCCTCCATGCAGCGGAAAAATAACAGTCATTTCGCAAGTAACACCATACCCAGAATCTATATAGGAGATTACCCGTAAGTTACTTGTTCTTTTAAATACAATGCGTTTGATAGCGCTAGCCCTCACACTGAAAAACATAGCTGATGCTTTATAATAAAGAAACAAAAGGAAAATTTGATTTATCCGAAAAATGCTGTATGGCTTTAAATATAATCCTTACTAAGCATGTGTACCTGCACATCGTTCTGACAATTCTATATGCTTGCTTAATACTGCCATATTACTTGAAGCAAATCAGACAAACTCCACCTTACTACATGGTACATTCGGATCAAAAGTAGCAGTCTTAGATTTTTTTATACTGTAAATAGTAAGTACAAAACGATCGTGATGACGACGGCGTGTTTCCTCAATATTTATGTGCAACCTGACCAAATAATAAATCTTCTTTAAATAAATAAAAAATTCGAATAAATTATTATTTATTCGAAAGTCCGTTGTTATACCAAATATTTTAATAATTTAACCTTTGTTTTGAAATTACCAAGTTAACTTGTCGCTGAAATTGCGGCGGATACCATTGACTAAACATCTTGTAACTCGTTTAATTTTGGAGATAGAGAACGCTATTCTCTGTAGAGTATTTCGAATTCGTTTTAGGCATAAAATTAACAGTCTGTTTATTGGTTGAACTATTCGCTAAATTACAAGCATATTCATCAAAATAAAGAATATTTAAAAGAAATTCGTTGACCAAATAATTCTTCGGAACTTTGTTGAATAATATTTGCTTAGTCTTAATAAGCTATATAAAAAAGAACTTTCCGGTCTCACTATTGCAGAAATACGTTCTTTAGAACTTGTACAAACGCTTCCGGTAGAATTCCTCTATGCAGTTTTTTTTTTTTGTTAATTCATCACAACGTAGTTAGTCTCGTCCATTAGTTAGTGTTCAGCAAGACAACTGAATGTATGCGTGAGAAAAAAGCATCTTTGTTCTATCTGTCTCAAATAGTATACTGCCGCTAACTAAATTGACGTTCGTTGAATCTCCGCCATATATTGTGTCTAGTCTATTTCACAATTAATATTTGACAGGATTATTTTAAATAAATATCGATATGGTTGAATTACAAATATAGGTTTTATAAATTTTCGTTACAAATTTACTCTCAACCTTTTTTTACATTTATTGTGATACCGGGAACCCTACTTAGCACAAAATGTACGAACACTGTTAGATTCGCTTGCGTTAGACCAGTATCAAACTTTTAAGTACTGACCGGCTTTTTCCCGGATGGTCTCATTTGGAAGAAATCATGTTATAGATGTTTATCTGTATATATATATGTTCATATAAATGATTGACAAGATGTCCTTAGCTGACGATTAGCTCTCGGTCTTCTGTAACCGGTGACGCTCAACTGCAGAGGCCATCACAAGCCATTTTTATCGGCTTCCTATTCTCAGGGGAACCGACTTCCATAGGCTTCAACTCTATCGACTCTAGCAAGTACAAACCCCACTTAAATATCCAGTCCTAAGATGGTCAAAAGAGGGTCGTATGCCCCATCAGAGCTCCTCGTCCCGAATGCGGCATCAAGTAACCAGTGAATCAACTACTTATGTTCATACACGACCATTGTATGAAAGGTCATAAACTGAGCCGCCTGCGAGATATAGCAGCTAAGAAACAAGCGACTAGCGAAAAGTAACTGTCAACGTTGGAAACTTCCCGTCCGCTAGAGTTTCGAAGCAGCTTCATAGTCTACAAGACGGCCATTGGAAACCCACCAATGAGGCCTTGCGTCGTTTTGTTCTGGCCGGTAAGCTGGAGAGAATTATATAAAACGATGTCATTTTTGTGGATATGTAGCAATTTACTCTATAAGATGTAGCGTCAGTAGACAGTTTCGATATTGTTGCAATCCAAAAAGCGAGATCTATTCGAAAAGGTCGCCTAGCACTGCTTTTTTTTTTTTTTAATAACACTTTAATTGAACGAAAATGCCTAATTCTAGATTTCCTAGTTTGCAAAACGCCTATTAAGGTAGTAGCCTAAAATGTTGTGCTCCGTATTGACTACGTAAAGCTGTCTTAAAGTAGTAAACCGAATGACATTAAATTACATACATAACAGTAATCTGCACATACAATTGGTAGCTTTTATACATATTTGAAATCTTGCCATTTCGGATGGGGAATCCCATGGTAATGAGCAAAGCTGAGATTTTATAGATGCTCTCCATACTATGCTTACGCCTTCTAACTCCTATCAAGTGCCAATCAATCTAAGTTCAGTAAATCTTGAATATAAAATGATGTAAGGATAAAGTTCTAACATGCCTTCTACCGTTTCTAATTAGCTTCGCCTACCATGCAGTATTTCATTTCAATCTGATACAATTACTGAACCATCCAATACTATGACTGGCTATAGTTTTAATAATTTCCATGGTGGACCCTTTATGCTAACTTTAAATGAACCGTATATAATACGTAATATTTTCATAACGAATATCTTCCGCGGGATACAGATATATTAAATTGAAGCACAGCTAAAGGCCATCTGATGGAATATGCAACTCGCACTTTCTCTTCAGAAATGTATTTTTTCTTTCCTTTTTTTTTTTTAGGAAGCTTCTTACGAAATAGGAAAAAGGTGGCCAGTGATCAGAAAGGCTGCTAATGAAAGTACTTCCCACTGCCTGGTTAGCCAGAAATATGGCCTTGTCATTTAATCAATACAGCTATGTAGAGGCTCTCGTTGATCGTCTTGTCCTTTTCAGGTATTCTCCAGTGTATAAGATCCTTACAATCTAAGCAAACGTGGTCTTTTTTGAAGGAGGATTTGGTTCAACTCTGAGCTTAAGCGCATTTTTTAGAGCTACCAATTATTTCACTACTTCATAGAGACACCACTTCTTGTCGCCGTGTGCTAATCTGTCGTTGGGACTGCGTGTTGGCCGGAACAAGGCAAAATGCTGCGCGTCAATAAGAAGCCATAGTTCCATATGCACTTTATTCAGTACATGGCGCCACAAGGCTTGTAATTACTAATTAAATTCCACAGAAGCAAGATGTTTGATACGAACGTAGTGCTTGCAGCTGATCTCCTGGGCAATTAACGATTGGCCAATCATTAATTGGCCTTCGTCCATCTAGAATGGCCAATGCTAGTATACATCCTTCGAGTTCAAGATATGACCTTTAATATAAAGCACCGCTTCGAGAAACCGTCCAACTCTTGACCGACTAGGTGTCAAAAATGTACTTTTTGATCTAGGACCTATACATTTGAAGATTGACCTCAACGTAAAATTCCGTATACACGCTTGGTTTTCTAACTGAAACCTGTTATGTATTTAAAGTCGTTCCAGCTTCAGCTATTTTCTGCAGCTAGTAATAACTAGCTTTTTAGGTTTTCTCTAGCTTTATGGTACGGGGTTTGAAAACAATTGCGCTTTAATTGACCTTGTTATTTTTAAGCAATCAGCTATGTTACATAATTTTCAAACGCCGAAGCTTTACCACCGTTCTTAGTATTTAGAACGATTTTAACAACGAATAATGAAAACTTTCAAGAGTCAGTTTGTATAAAAGCGTCCTGCCTTCGCTAAAGCACGTATTAAGCATATTGAATTATGTAAGGCGCAAATAGATTATCAGTTAACTACCGAAAATTGCTCCGCATCAATGTTTTATTTATGGTTGAAATAATTTATATATTAAAAATATAGTATCAAAAATGCTGTTTCTTCTCCGTAACATCAATCTAGGTGAGGCGAATTTTCAAAATTACTCACTTCGTACGCGCCATCATGTCCATACATCAAATATATCTAATAATTACGGGTTTATAATATTAGGCAGCTTTTTCTATTCGAATTTTTCTCACAAGTTAAATGGTTGTCTGCAGTCGGAGCGTTTTCTGTTCCTCCTCAATAATATGTTACCATCTACCCTACCATTACCCTACCCTGTGCATACACAATGTCACAGTATTCCACCGCCATGGCCGGGTTCGTGTGATGTATATGAAGGTTTGCCAAGACCGCCACCAGGGTGCGCCACCAAGCGGAGGGTGAGGTTGGCTCCTATAGAGTCTGCAACCGTCGCACATTAGCCGTTTTCGTCTCTTCTTTATGTCATAGGAACTATGTGTATGTCTGTCTATGTAGGGGAGGAGGGGGGGGGGGGGTCACAACTATGAAAAGTTTGACGTACATCTCGCAGTGCTGTCCATGGGAATCGTAGACGCAGTCATCCAGTTAGTTTTGCATGTGGATCATGGAGAAAAAGTATTGAGCAGTACTAGTAATAATGATAACAACAACAATATTAGTACTGTTACAATCGTTATCAAGCACTCGACCGATAAACGAATCATGGACATATACCACCATAGGGGGAATAAGATCAGCCTCGTGTTATAACCTGCTCCGCTGAAGGAAACTATTTTTAAACGGAAAAATGCGAATAGAATTAAAGTGTATAGTTGCCGTGTGTGAATGAGGCTGTCATATAGAAAATGGTCCAAATGACATATTGGATAACAGAAAATCAAGTATTTTTTTTCTACCTAGTGCATGCTGATACTGTTGCAAACTTAATAGACAGAAAAACATAATAATATTGCGGTCTACTCGCGTATACCCATTTGTAAGCTGGCATAATGTTTCTCTAACGAGTAGCTCTATGCTCACCTATTAAACAAGCTACACTGGTCGAAGAATTGGTTTTCCAGTCTCAGCGATATCAACTATTGAACGCAATGGCTTTAAATTGTTTTGTCGTCCATTCCTAACATGAAAACTTAACTGACTTACGGTAGCGGAGCTAATTTAATGCTATCCCTAACGAACTAATTCACTACATATCGATAGTATCATAGACTCGCTCGTATTTTTAAATTTTTCTAGACGCATCTGCTTCCGATTTTAAATACATAAACAACAACAACAGCTTTTTTCACTTCGTAGATATCGCCTTTTCTTTTTTTATCTGTATCTGGCCATTTTCTCCATCTTAGTTTCTTTATCGACACAATAGGTGCCGCGACTATTGTCCACTACGATACCGTATTGTATCGTACGTATCGCTTCGGGGAACTACTAGATGACGAACAGTCAACAGAGAGTTATTGCGTCCTTTTCTAACACACGATACTATCGTCAACCGAAGAACCAAGAAGGGTGCAGGTTACCAGAAAAAAAACTGTGCAGGCCCCGAAATCCGCAGCTGGTCTGTCCCGCTCCGATTCTATCGGAATCCCGTCATCGTGCATCCGCTCAATGGCAAAACGACTCAAAATGACCCCCCGGGTCCGTCGACACTCTGTCTGAAATGCCACTTACTTAGCAGCCCGGGGTGATACCACCTCCGGCGCTCCAATGAATCTACGTGGTGGCCTGCTGGCTCTTTCTGCTGCTTTTACCACTACTGCCGCCATCACCACCACCAGACCGCTGCCTCTTACACGTACTGGTGCTGCTATGAACCCTGTCTTTGGCGCGCGTCGCGAGAAGAGGAGGCTGATAGGCCGGTAGGGGCCAGACAAACTAGGTAACCATCAGCCTTGCGTATGAGCGACGGAGCGGGCCTTGTTTTTTCGCGCCGGAGACTCGCAGCAGACGACGGGCCTTGTGCGGGGCTCAGCGCGGCGGGGGTTCGTGGCGCCGTCTGGCGGTCCAGTTCGCCATCATGACCGAGACATGAATAAGAGCAAGGATTGGCGAGGCCAAGCGTAAGTCAACGAACAACGGGTGACACCCAGCGAGCGTGCAGCCGCCCGCCAACCAGCCAGCCAGCCACGGCCCCCCTGTGCCGCGCGCCATAGGTTGCAGCACCAGTAGCAGCGGTCGTGGTGGTCGCTATAGCAGCATCAGCAGCTGTAGCTAGCTGAAGGAAGGGCTGTTTGCTTTAGCCGCAGCTGGCTGGACCGCGCGCTGAACTGCGGTGTGCATGCGTCTACCCCGAGGGTAACTGCGAAAAATTCAACTATCTCTACTACTACTGCCACTACTCTGTACTGCTACTCCTACAACACTGTAATATGTCGCCGTGCAGCAACAACTCAACTCCTCATATGTACTTTCTAACGTAGCGTAACTCAACCGACACTTACGATACGACGAGACCCACTTCACACGTACGGCGACGACGAGACAAGGTTGCAGCGGGACTCAGTGACAAAGTAAATGTGCGCCAGCCAGCCAGCCTCAAACGGTAGACATAGTAGCGGCAACATCGGTGGTGGCAGTGAATTTTTTGCAGCCAGAACAAGAAACTGCTAGACGACGAACACGTTAGCAATAGCAACATTAGAGACACTGTCCGCATTTCGTTACCCTGCAGCTCGCTGCTGTTCGTTCTCTGGCTAGTGACCATTCAAATCACTATGACACGAAGCCAACAGCGACAGCAAAGTCCGATCGAAATCGTATGACACGAAACAGACGGGCCAGCTGCAACACCCGAGTCAGAAGCAGCAGCGAGAACGACACTTACGTACAACTCTCGTGCAGCGCGATCGCTCTGTTGCTACTACTGCTACCGAACGGAACTACACTGGCGTTTTAGCGCGCGCACTGCGAAAACGCAGAAACCCGCCGATACAGACAGCGGAGAGAACAAAGCGAGAGAAGGCAAGGGTCGCAGTGGCACAAAAATCTGCAAAAAGTTGCACTGATCTGCCGTGTTCAGATTTCGGACAAAAACAACGGCCCACAGAGAACAGGGAAGAGATTTGCTGAGCAATATCGATTAACAGTTGCTTAGTTTATCTAATGAAATCAAGCAGGTTTATCATTAATAGCAGCAGTCGAAGCAGGTTTCGAAACAACGCGTTACGTGATCGAATCAGCGTGAACCGTGGTGGCGCTACGAACAGTAAAGGGGAAATTCGACTCTGCAAGCGTTTGCTGTCAATCACGAACGCACGCAGCGTAGAAAAAACACAAAAATAAACACTAGGGAAAACGCGCTCATTGAGTTAATCAACAACTACAACAGCCAGGTTGAACGCTCATACTCAGCTGCTATTATAAACCTCATCTTATGCTGCTATATTATTAATACTCCGTTACCATTTCTGCAATATACTTCTTTTGATGCGAAAGTAGAGGCGAACCGAGCGCTCGCACATCTCACCGAAAACCGCACGCGCCCGATTGAACCATCGTGACGCGAGCCTCGGAAACAACTGGCCACTACCCACAAGCTGATCATTGACAAATCCAACCAATCCTAAAGCGTGCAATCATGGAAATCGCGGTTGGCTATCCTATGTAACCGTAGCATCCATAGCACAACTCAGCTGGCTGGTCTCTCTTCGACTACAGGCGTCAAGAAAAGTAAACAGGAAAAACGTCACCGGGAATAAACGACTGCTACAGGCCGAAGCGCACAGCATTTATTGTACGGGGGGGGGGGGGGCAACGACGACTTCGACAGTTCGAGTGATGTGCGAATGTTGTTGACGGCGTCAGCGTCAGCTACGCCAATATTCTTCTAGTGTTCTCGGATGCGACAATGGATTGAAGTGTGGGTAATATTGACGCTGGTGATGTGTTCAACCGTTGTCGGCAGCAGACGAATAAGAGAAATCATTTTTACCATTATCATTATAGTCGCAAGCATCGTTATCATCGCTGGTGACGGTAACAGTGGGGAGCTGCCCCTGCGTACTATGCTAACCGTAAATGATTGATTGCTATTGTTACCTCCACCTTATGCAATAGGGACCGACTGGCGAAAAAAGGTACAGACAGAAGAACGGGAACGAGAATATCGCAATAGTAATCATCGACGACGACGGCGTCTATGTTGTCGCTTTCAAATCTGCTCTACCACTGTAACGAACAATATGACGACGTGCAGAAGTGTATGAGTGTGTGGGTTCGTGGGTTCATTTTGTCTCGAAGAAACGGGTAGAGGTAACAGCAGAGTGTAGTTGCAGCGCGTCCTCAACTTCAGCTGCTGCGACAACGAACAAGACGATGCCAGTAAACGATGACAGCTGAATAAGTAAAGCCACTTGTAGACGAGACCAGCAGAGCCGAAAGCGTCGCGCCCTGTTACGAAGCTACACGCAAAAACCACCTGACCCTCAGCGGCGGTAGCAATAATAAGGACGGTAATAACAATAGAAAGGACCGGCCGCGAGAAGTAGGCCAGGTGCTAGCTGTAGGATTCTGCCCGCACGCAGAATACGGAAACAAATTGGGACTGCTTTGTGTGCGTGTGTGTGTGTGTGTGTGTGTGTATGGGTGTGTGTTTGTGTTTGTGTCAGTGGGTGAACGCAAGAGAAAGCGTTAAGGAAAAGAGCGGGAAGGATACATAGCGAAGCGGTTCCGCCTAGAGCGAAAGTGTACACGCAAGAAGCCAAACAAGAGCAAGAACCCAAATAACTGAAGGGAAAGCGGCACTGAGGAAAAACAAGAGACAAAACGAAACGACCGTTGACAATATCTTTGCGTGGAACAAGCAATAAGGTTCAGTTATAGACGCTCTGCGTCAAACGTACGGGGTTAAACGCCGCCGTGTTCGAGCCCAGGGGCGGGACGAGAGGATGCGCGAAGAGTCTCGACGCCTGCATCTGCAGTTGCAGCTACTTCAAGACCATCCGAACGTCCACCCCAACAGCACTACCACCCACAGCGAGTAAGTTCATTACGAGGTGGCCTATTACACGTATGTGCAGGTACTATCCGGCCGTACTATGTCATCATTTTACCTTTCTGTCATGATTTTTGCGGAGAGATTGCGCAGGCTGCTCACGTAAAGGTAAAGTGTAAACTAGTTGATTTTCGACCGGTTATGGTTAGACGTTCAGTTGTGAATTATGCCATACATCAGTTTTGTAAATTGATGTTTGCGACTTGTCGACTATGGAACTAAATAAATGGTTGGGGCCGATCAAGCACTAGTTACGCATTGCTTCAGACGTAATTCATTAGTAAATAGTTTGAAATGAATCCTGGAAGTGACCCCTCTATATTTTGACGGATCAGGTGGAGCTGAATTACCGCTGAGTAGCATAAGCAGAATTGTCTTATGACGTGCACACGAGCCTAAGTACATATACATTCGTATATGTACATAGGTCCATACATTGGCGCCGCGGTTCGAAAAGGCAAGTAGATCCTGGATTCGACTCCTATTCATTACTTTTGAGACAATTTGGTGAGCGCTCAGAAGAATAGAAATGAACCACATTATGTACAGCTGTTTCCTCTGTCACATCCCGTGGGAACTCGTTGCATTGGCCTTCGAGTTTGCTCGACTCCGTCAAATGCGAAAAAAATCCTATAGAAAAACAAATTCTAATCATTTTAGCGTAAATTTATCATTATCCTGTCAGCCACCACCGTTGCTCTCATTGTCGTACGCAACTGTCTAATGAATAAATGGTTGTTGAACCCGGTACACTGATTGGTCACCTTACAATCGATGCGATCTGCAAGCGCTGCGCAATCAGGCATTTGCCCTGACGCTCGCCCTTGCGGATGATTGCTCTTTTGGCCGTTCGATTGCTTTGCCCGTCTACCGACTACCTGCGGCGTGTTCTTAACTACCAATCGAACTACCAACAGCAGCTGTAGTTCTCGCTGTTGATTCCTTCGACCACGAAGGTCGAGGGCCCTTTATTATACACCGGATAGAACAGTCTCTAGTAGCGTGAGTTCGAATGAATATCAAGTACGTGCCTACATATTGTGCATACCTCTATGTCCAGGTACCCTTTTAGCGTTCAGCTCACTCACAAACAGCGAATTACATCATGGAACGCTCTATGCTGGGACTTGGGCTGTGGAACAGGGATGACGCGACTATCCCCTCGTCCTTCCATCGACGATAGATGAAAAATTCGCCGTCACAACAGTGGTTGAGATATGTTAACATGCTATATGGCGGCTGCTAAGAGAAGGCAGGTAGATAAAATTCAGGTAAGCGTATACTGAGTATAGGTTGCAAGAAGTATCACTCAGCAGTAGCAGCTATGGTAGCTAGCGCCGTCGCCGCTACGGCCGTCATCGATTCGATGACGGTGGTGGCATTTGGGGACTGGGTGTTGGATAGCTCATAGTAGGGGGTTCACGCTTGCCATGCAGACAGCGAATGCTTTGCATAGCCCCCCCCCCCCCCCCCCCCTGCTCCGCCCGGGGAGAGATGCCGCGACTTGTCCGGCTGTTGCTATTTTCATTGTTGCTGATGTGTATTACATCCGAAACGATGCGATACACCACTTAGCCCCATCGGCATTAGCTCAAACTGCCGTTTAATTCTGAGAGCTGACAAGACCGAAGTCTCGCCAATCAACAGCACGACGGGCAAGTGTGTTTATGATAGCATTAAAGTCGAGATCGACAATACGCACCAGTAATAATGGTAGTGGCAGTATTTACGGACTCTATTCCGAGGACATGTGCCTAAGTTTAGCAGGCAAAGACGTTGCCACCCGCTGCGTTACCGGTTAGACTAAGTTATTACATGCTGAACTGGTTGTTGACAAGGGGCGAAAATGATATGGCAGATGTTTAGTCCAAGTTATTTCCAATATGTATAGCGTTTTATTTAATATCGACCTATTAATAAAACGTAATAAAGCAATAACGACGATCGTTCTGTCTTGATAGTTTTCACTATTCGTCTATGTATATTCTCGGGGTTGCGATTTTAGGTACTGGTAGGGGCCCTATTGATAGAGCTGTCTATTAAACAACGAATAGTTTTTTCAGGCCGTTTTGGTATTGGCCACAATCCTTACACGGGTTATTTCAGGTGAGCTTTGACGTAAGTCAATTAGGGGTTCATTTTACGCGCATAGTGATTGTTCAATGTATTCCGTTCGAACGAGAGGCATAAGAGTATACGGTGGTTCGTATTTCTATTTCCTAGTTTAATCTGTGAGCACACGCTACGGGTATTTAGAAGCACCATACGGTGGTTCGTATTTCTATTTCCTAGTTTAATCGGTGAGCACACGCTACGGGTATTTAGAAGCACCTATTTCTTATAGGTCTAACTCAAACGCGACGCACCTATTTCTTATAGGAAAACTCGTTTGTGTAAAACGCGTTCAAGTTCAATCCTTTACATGATGAGATTATTTCGGTAATCTAGCGACTTAATCTGAAGCCTCTTCCTGCCACAAAAGACTTAATCTGAAGCCTCTTCCTGCCACAAAAGATAGACTTAATCAGATCTACCGCATATTTCTACCGCACAGTTTTTTGATACTGAAATGTGACATTGATCATGAAGCAGAGTGAGGTATTTTCACAATATGAACAGTGAGGTATTTTTACAATATGAACACGATTCTCATAGCATACAATGCATTGCTACGTTTGTTCTACGCTCGATGTCCCCTTTCTTCTCAGCTCGCAAGTGGACTGCCATTGACTTCTGCCATTGACTTCTTCAATCTGTCTCCTTATTCAGAATCTTAGATGTCAAAAATGAAGGCCGAATGAGGTTTCCAAACGGAGAACCAAGAAGAGCCTGCGTCCTATGATGGGCGGTTTGCTAATGAGGGACCCCTGTGTCAATTATCCAGGGGAAGCTCAGGGTAACTAGGTCAGTTGATAGCGTAAAAATGCCTGTGAGTGGAGATGTCGTTGTTCTCAGGACACTGCTGTTGGCGCCTTCACCACTTCTGCTGGAATAACGACAAAGGCAATCACGGCAAGCGGTAACGACGACAAGACGTAGCAGCAGGGCGGCGTGGCAGCCGGCGAACAAAGTCAGGTCTTTTTTTTTTCTTCAACAGACAAGCAAGCGGGTACCACCCACTCGTCTGTTCGTTCCTCTTACGCTGGTTCTGTCGTTTTTGTCCTCTTCATCTACCCAGGAAGCTAGTTAAAACTAGATACCCAACTCCCTGGACGACTAACCCGTACTGTTCTTGTTGTGGCTGGCTCATCACTATTGCGATTCTGCCTGTACGACGCAGTACCATTCTTTATGTTGAGTTATGGTGGGTTTGAGGTTACCCCTTAACGTTCTGTCCCATTTTGCCTCCAGAACTTTCAAGCATCACTCTGCTCTCTCGAGACCAGCTTGGTTCGAAGCCGCAACCGCCGCTTGCCGGCAAACTTAGCCAGCCAGCCAGCCAGCCAGCCAGTGAGCGAACGAGCGACCGACTGCCTGGGGCGTTCCTGGCGTCCGCCGTTGCCGCCTCGGTCGGCGCGCGTGTCGTTCAGTTATTATTAACAAGGCCACGTTTGGTCTAGTCCACTCTGCCTCGACGATAATGGCTGCTGGTATAGCAGCTACTTAAGTATATAATACAACACATAAATATCAGTTCTGAACAATATTAAACGGCAATACCTGTATTCATTAAATTTGCACATAGGTAGTGGTCATTTTACTAACTGTATTCCTTTATAACTTTTTTTTTGCTGAATGATACGTACTCAAATGTACCACTGAAAGGTTTCTTCGTTGTTCTACAAAGCTATTATTATTCTGCAGATCACCATATATTATCCACGTCTAGTTACGACGCGATGACGAAGTTTGCGTTAAACGGAGTGTCACCTCGCTCATAAAAATGACCACGAGAGACAAACAATGCCGTTTTATAAGCTCCTTGAATAAACCTCAGGTAAGCTGAGGAAGGCTCATTCTGGCTAGACTTTCTAGTGACTAAAACACTGCAAAAGAACTAAAAAAATACAGAAAAGAAGTAATCGGCAAGAACAGATGCACCAATCTAATACACGTAAATTTGGAGGAACATACGTTCATATGCGCATAGCGTGAATCCAGTCAATAGATGTTTGTAGAAGCATGTCGAAAATGGCCATCGTTAATGCTTATGGTGATTAGTAGAGATAACGGGTTTCTGTGTGAAAGTACCATCAGTGTGTCCAACCATCACTATTGGTATTTTTAACGCAAACGCAAGCAGAGATGCTATATGAGAATCAGCAATAGAGGCAAAAGCAGCGTAAAAGAGGAAATCACGAAGTCGGCTGATAATCAGTACGGTGCAACGCTCGACCGCTAAACCAAAGCTTCGTGGCCCTCAGATCATAGTAAACTCTAACAGCTCAACTTGTCAGTAGTCGCAGAAGCAATCGTTGTAGCTACAACGGTAGCTTTACTGTTCAAAGTGTTGCTGAGGGTCGCTACTGCTAGCCGATTCAAAGGATTGACTTGGTCGATCGCTGAGTGCGTCAATGGCCTTATTGAGTGTACAGATATTTCTACTTCCAGATAATTTAAAGGCGAATATAAGACATTAGCGACTCATAAATATGCTGATATGAGCAAGATATAGCGATGAGACACGTCCGTTCTGTATGTGCTTGTCTATGTATATTTATGAGTGGGTGTGTACGACTGTGTTTGTCCATCTCGCAGTGCAGCAAAAAAAGTACGATCCGTGTAGCATTTTTCGACCTCAATTCACATTTGCCTTTTTGCCCCAGAGCCCTTATCTCCGTCCTCATGTTTCCCCTTTTTTTTTTGTTTGTCGCCACTCCGCCCTGTCTGCATTACAAATATCGTTGCAGAGGATTAGTCTTGTTTTTTTACGGGGTATCACTCGAATGCCGACAGTTTGTCCAATACGCCACTTCACGAGTGTGCTCGCATCTGGTTTTATAGGGGTGTTCAGAGAGATTGTGGGATAATGTGCGGTAAGGAGC